GAGCCATCAGAGAAAATCCAAATATGGTCACATTCGTCAAGGGATAGTGACCCAGCACCTGCGAACATAGTGACACAATCACCCGGCAACTCCACTACGCCTGCCCAAAGATCACAAGCCTTCCTTGTCCATGGCTCATGTAGGGAGTTCGACAGCTCCTGAATGCCTGGCACGTGCATGCGTCTCGGATCAACTTGATGGTGCTCCGCATCTGGATCATTGAGAACCTGGTTACGCCTCACTTCTGGCCGTTCTGGGGGTGTGCGACTGCGGCTTCGAGCAGGTTGTTCTCTGCGGAAGTAAAGAATGACCAGTGCTGCGTGCGCAACTTCTCTAGGAACAAGGTCATGCTGTGGCCAATGTCGACCATGGCAGATCACTTCTACAGCAGGCACAAACTCTGCCCGCTCTTCCAGGTCAAGAATCAGAGGCGTGACCAGCTGGTCTCGATCAAGCAGGCCGTCAATCTCAAAGACCTTCTGCTTCAAAAGGGCCTGGCCATGTTTGAAGTGAACCAGCACCTGCACTCTTCCCGGCCTTAGAGCTTGCTCATCCCAAACTAAAGCATGTATCTGATCACCTGTGCGATCCGGTTGGGGCTGTATACCCATCCACCTGAAACTATCATCCGGAATTGGTTGCTCCGCTGCCCAATCCTGAAAAAGGGCTCCCCGGATGTTGTCTTCCATAATGCCCCTGTGTTGGGCAAAGGCCGTCTCTGTAACCAAGAAAACACGGGACCGCAATTGGTAGCTAAGGATAACCACTCTCATGGCTGCTTCCTCGTGCTCATTTCCATGTTCTTCCCCTCCTTGATCAGGACCATCATCTCCATTTTGGTCTCTATCTGCTTCAGCTCCAACCTCTCCATTCTCGCCTCCCGGGTCGTCCTCTTGCTCTTCTTGTTGCTCAATCAAAGCCTGCCACTCTGTTGGTACTTGCTCTATAGGGCCCGCTGAGCAAGTTCTCGGACTGTTCGAAGCAACGGCTGCTGAGAGATCAAGTTCAACTTTGTTTGCAGTAGCACCCTCCGACTTACTGCTTCTGCCCGTACTGCGAGCCTTACCGCGTAGGGTGCACTCTCGTTGCTTCTGCGTCCAGGAAATGTGGTCACCTGCCTGACTGCTCTCTGGGCGTGATCGAGACTTACCGCAGGCTCCCACCCCAATCTGGCTTTCAGGAACTAACGAACCCTCCGATTGACTGCTTCTGCTCTTAGTACCAGACAGACCGCTTAGGGGTGTTACCTGTGGTTCCTCAATCCCACATCTGTGATCGTCTGTCTGACTGCTGCTAGGGCGTAGTCGAGACTTATTGCAGGCTCTCACATCCAAGGCATCTGTATTAGCATCATCCTGGCTCCAGAGCGGCCTGATTTTGAGGACCATCCCATCCAAGAACGGCAACTCATCAAATAGATATCCCTGTTGATCGTGCTCAACAAAGAAATGGCAGCATGAAACTGCGAGCCTTGCCAATAGGTCGACTGCTCTATCAAATCTGCAGACCTCAACTGACTGCATGATGAAAGGTGCCTCCATGCAAACCACAGCAAATTTGCGATGCATAAGCGGCCCAAACCCTTTCTGCAGGACGAAAGCAACTGGTTCAACATGCGAGGGTACTGCCGCTGGAAGCACAGAATCAGCACGGATAAGGATATGATCGACCAGAGCTGGCTGCTGTTCGCAAACGATAGCCTTGACCTCTCTGAGGGTAGCATGCTCCCGACAATCAAATGCTGCCGTGCCTTGCTCATGGAAGACAAGAACGCGAAACATGGCATCCGCTTTGCGCTTCCCGACTGGTTGACCTGGCACTGTTTTCGTGGAGCCCTCCGACTTACGGCTTCTGCCCGTATTACAAGCCTTACTGCTTAGGGCTCCTGCAGTCCCGTCCGGGCGGTCACCTGTCTGACTGCAATGTGGGCGTAGTCGAGACTTACCGCAGGTTCCCTCACCCAAAGATTTCTCCGAAAAGGGATGCAAACCGATATGTCTCTGCTGATCGTATCTAGAGGCCTCATGCAGCTGGGTCTCAGTAGAGTGATCAAACCCATACCACTCTACTCCACCAAAGCGTACCTGCTTCAAACAACCCGCTTGTTCCCTTTGAAGAGAATGCTCCTGTCGGCGTTCACCTGCAGCGTGCCCGTGATGTTGGACATACTCATGCGGCTCCAGCATTTCGAATGCTAAATGTATTGCCTGGAGTTCGGCCTTCTGCTGGCATACGAAGTCTTCAATACCCGCAACAGAATGACTCCATGCCATGACTGAGAAAGAAAAGGTGCACCCTTTCAGCATGTTCCGCTGCAGAAATCCCTCACAGGTGTTGTTAGTTCCACACTCCTGCTCGGTTGAATGACCTCCACAGCGAATCAAAAAACTTTCTCTGCCTCTCCTTCTGGGCCTCCGACTGGAATTTCTGGGCTTTTGGATCTCCTCCTTGGGCTCCTCTCTCTGCTTAGGGTTTCCTTCACCTTCTTTTCCTCTTGGTCCACTTTAACTTCTCTGCAAATTCCTCCATACGCTTCTTCTGGCTCGAACCTCGCACACGGAAAGCGTTCAAGGCTGTCTGGGCTGGCCACGCAGAATGAGGTCCTGCACCATCCGTCATGAGCTCCTCCGAGTCTACACTGATGGCAACGTCCAGCTCCTTGGCCTCTTCCGCTGATAGAGTCTCTGCCTCCTTGGAAGCCTTCTTGGAGGCATCTCTGACCGCCTTCCTCGCGACTCCCAACTCCTTCTCCGCATCTGCGAGCTTCTTCAAATATGATTCCTCCTCCTCTTGAAAGTCGGCCAAATTGCGCTTCCATGACTCCTGCACCTCCGTGACATAGGCCTCCCAAGCACCCAAACGCGTAGACCATGCACCTTGGAGTTCGCTCAGGGTTTTCTTGCATTGGCCCATTCGAGTCACAGCTTGATGTAGCGAGCGCGTACTCTGAGATGCGGCATCGGCCACTGCCTTCTGCAGCTGCTCCGGGATTTGTGGCAGCTTCTGCACTGCTGCCAGCAAGGTATCCAACTTGACTTGCGCGTTGTTCTCTTCCTGCAACCCCTGCCAAGATGTAGATCCCGACCAAGTAGGCGAAGATGAAGCCCAAGAAGGCGCCTGCATATGCTGCTCTTTGGTCTTTCCCTTGCCTTTGCCTGCACCTGCAGCTCCACTTCCTTTGCCCGTGTGGCCCTGCAACCATGGCGCTGCCAACATCTGACGCGTTTGGTAGGACGATGTGCCTCACCAACCTTCGGCATTCTGCTGCCCTTTGCGTGCTCTCGGCGACTTGGGGCGAACACGTGGGCTCTTCGGCCTTTGATCTCCTCCCCAGCCATTCTGGACAAAGTCTCCCTGGCATCCTCCGCAATTCATGCAGAAATTTGCCGAGGCTTTGTTCACCCTCACACATTGTGAACATCGCCATGCCATCTCCGGGCACCAAGAGTGGTGGCGAGCAAGACGTCTCCAATGCCCAGCCTCCACTTCAGGGTCCAGCGAGAGCAGCCCTGCACTTGCCGCTCTTATCGCAAACCTGGATTCAGATCGGAGCCTCCTGCTCCTTCTGTGCCAGGTGGGCTCACGCGAAATGGCTCACACAAGCGAGAGGTGAAAACGGGGGGGAGGTTACGCGGGCACTTCAACCCGCTAAGGCAAGCAAGCCTAGCTTGAGCCTTGAGCTCACTAATGGGTTCAAACGACAATCTTGCTCAAACGCACTCACTAAGTCTTACTAACGCTCACTAAGGCTTACTAGCCCTTACAAGGTGTTACAAAGCATTGCTGAGCAATAGCGCATGGTTGATGCTTTCTTCCTTGATTTGACCCCTCCCCCCCTCCCCCTCCCCCTTAGCACCCTATCAATAGCGCTGCATCAAGATTTGTGTATGCTCAATAACTAGGCTCTGACGTAGCGTGTTAAAAGGTGCGCATTTGTGTGGACGTCGCGCGGCAACAGTACGAGTCAGGCATAAATCAATTGACGTCATGTGAATGAAGCCCTTTCAACGTGGAAGCCATGGCAAAGTGTTTCTTGTTGAAAGCAATGCTTGCTTGAGCCGGCAGCACTGACCCAGTGATTAGGATTCGTCAACCAGTCATCGCTGCCACACCGGGTCGGGGACATCTTCCTTTGCCTCTGAATGCCTACCAATGGATTTGCCAGCATTTTGTTCCTGGACAATGGATTTTGGCAAGCATACTGCAAAGCCCGTTTGGTAGTTCACCCTTCACCGGAATTGTACAGGTGCCCTTCGTTCCTTCTAAAACTCCAATGTGCTTCCCGTGGCAAGCCGCTCAGCTGTTCGTCTGCCCGGGTTCATATTCGTTTTCTCCGAGCTTCCCGAAGTCGGCTGCAATCCGATGGATTTTGCGGTGATGTTCCATGCGGTTGGTGCTTTTACACATGGTGCCACCGTCAAGTAACCCTGTGTGACTTGTTGATCGAACATGGGGCCGGCCAAAAGGAACGCAACGTTCGAATGTCGGCCTAGTATTTAAGAAGGTGCACGAGGGCCCTTTATTTAACAGCACACTGGTTATCAACTTGGTAGCCGGGCTAAGTGGTTGTCGCAACGGTCAAATATAGTGTTGGTGTCACAGCCAGACAGGCCAAAGGATGCATAGCCATTGCTTGCACCTTGCAGCCCCGATGCTAGCCATATCCGTTTGCAATGTGTGGGATGTGTGTGTAGTTCAAAATTGGTGCGCTCCAATGAGTTTTTATTTTCCTCGCAAAAGCTTTCATCTTGAGGCAGGCCCCGAAATGATGGTTCCGTGCTGGACGTGGGTTCTACGGCCGCTTTGATGCTTGATCTTCCCGCCTCAGATCATAGAACTGGAGGGAAGCCCCCTTTTTCTCCTAGTCAGTATGTCCAGCAAGGTGAATAAAAGGGTGTTTCCAAAATCGGGAACGCCACCGGTTGCGTGTTTTCGGGCGTGTTTCTTTCGGTTTCCCCAACACCTACCATGGAATGTCCTTGTGCCTGTTTTCTCACTAGGCACTTCCTGTGCCTGGAAGTGCTGGCGAAGACTGCGGAAGTGCATGTGAAGCCCGGGTGCCAAATCTTGCTGGTTTTGATCCGGGTTCAGAACTGGCGTGACTCGGTGCACAGCTTGCTAGCTTCATTTCCTGCAGTGCAATTGGCGTATGTGTGTCTGTGTGTCCTTTTTAGACCCCCCCCCAAAAAACAAAATCAAATAAACGGTGTCCTTTTGGTGTCCCTTGAAAACCACAAGAACGCGGACCCTCCAAAACGCACACCCATTTGTGGTTGTCTGGAGGGCTTCCAGAGTCGGGTGTGAAGTGCCCGGCTCCCAGCCTGCGGTTCTTTCCCAGTCGAAGAAATTCGCTTCGGGTCCCTGGCGAAGCGCTGGCTGACCCAGCGTTCCCGGGAGCTGCAAGCTCCGTGTTGCTTCTTCCCGGCTTTGTCGGTGTTGTACTTGTTGGGCTGTCATTTGTCCGATTTGACGGCGTTTTTTTGTGAACTCTCAAAGGATGCAGCTGGAGTTGAGATGTGTGAGTTGATGGAGTCTGTGTGTCCTATGAAGCGCAACGCAAAAGATGCGAGGATGTTCACGCTGCCCGCAATGGCACAGTTTGCGACAATGGCTGCCCGGGGCAATGGTTGCTTTGAAATTCCATGGCAAGGCGAATCCAGTGAAGCTGAGTGGTGGAAGCTTGCAACTGCCGAGTTCCTTGGTGGTTTGGGAAGGACGTGCTGTTCTGAGGAGCAAGTCACCACATGGCCAGGTGAAAAGATGCAGCCGAACAGCGCATAGAATACAACCAGTGAATTATATGGATGCCAATTGCTTTTCCCATGAAGTAAACAGTATACAGGCCCCATGTACATGTCAGATAGAAGCACATTAAGATCCATTTAGACTGGTCTAGGACCGGCTGCTGTGCAGGACAGTACCTTCCAGAGTACATCGTGTCATGTGTTTCGTGCCCCGAGGTTTTGTGGCTGGGTGGAAAGCAAACTGCGGATTCTGCACAAGTCGCTTGAGGTGGGCGCGGCGATGCATGAAGTTGACTGAAATATCAGAGCCATAACTCCTTCCCTGTCGTTTCGAGGCAAAACGTTCCCTCGTATCCGCGCAAGTTATGCTTGACCGCTTGAAAGAGGGGTCACAGATCGGCCTGTTTCTGGCAAGCCTGTGTTTGGACGTTTGAGTTATGAGCGTCTCCCGACCCGCACTCCGCACTTTGACGGAAATCCAATGACTCATGGTCACAAGACAAGGCATCGGCACGGGGAGTTCAATCTAGGCTAATCTCTTCTTTTTTCCGATCACCGGTTGTGCTATGTCATGCGTCCTTCAGCTGAGCATCTAGCGTGAGCCCCACTTTCTGCCAGCGAGGCTTTCTCAGGATGTTCCAGAGTCTAAGGAGTGGCAGTTTGGCAGAGGTTCACGTCAAAAGTTTGCCAGGCGCAAGCCCTTCTGACCGGTCGCAACACAACCAGCGAGCTTGATAGCAACGCTCCTTTGGCGCAGCCTTGCCGCCCCAAGGGACAAGGCGAACTGAACCCCCCTCAGTTTTAACAGAAATGCCGCTGTCACAGTGTGTGATGGCAGGTGTGTCATCTATGGCCTGCAATGAGTATGGGGCGCTCTCCTTCGTGCAGATGCAGTCAAGGTTTGCGATATCAAGACCCTGGGATAGCCAGGCTTATTGGGTTGGCACACATCACAAGGCAGGCTGCAACCTGTTGCGGAATATCATGCGCCATGCATTTGACGGGCTGGGCGCAAACTACAGCTGTCGCATGCGTCCTGACATGAACAGTGTCCTTACTACTGTCGGAGGCGAGCACAACTGCTCTGATGTCCCTGACTGCAACATCCTGTGGGACAATAGTGCTTCAGAGTGGAGCGTTGAGCAGGCAGTTGCCAGGGGCAATGGCTCCGTACGTGGTGTGCAAATCGTGCGTAACCCTTGGGAGATGCTTGCCTCTGCGTACTGCTATCATCATCGAGGAGAGGAGAGCTGGAATGCTATCAGTCACAACCCGGAGATCTTGTCGATGGGGCCCGTTGAGGGCATGATGACGCTCTGGCCAGATATGTCTATCATCATGGATGAGATGGCCAAGGTCTTCTCACACAAAAACTTGCACCATGTCCGATTTGAGAAGCTCATAGAGTCATCAGCAAGTTTTGACCAGCAGGTCAGCGGCATCTTCGAGGACCTCTTCGGGGGCCTCATCTCCCGCAAGGAGCACAGAGAGATTGCAGAGGCGGCCAAGGCCGAAGATCTCAACCGACAGCTCAGCGCCAAGGCAGCCGATCACACCAACTCTGATGAGTGCATGGAAGCGGCTCTGGAAGCACAGCAGTCCTTGGACCCCAGCGTGAAGGCCCATTTGACGAAGCTCCAGGTGAGCCTAGGCTACTGAAGGCCCAGCGGCCGGCTTCTTTCGCCCGTCTCATGTAAAATCCTTCTGGACATCTTGCCCGAGGGCTCAAAATTGTGCATGTGTCCTGTCCGCAGGCTGCTTTTTGTTGTTCTACATTTTGGCTCCAGTTTTTTTTTTTTTACATGAGCTGCAAATCCTTGCAAGAAAAGTCCTTGGCTGAATGTGCCTTCCAACATGTGCTTCTTTGTTCGTGTCAGTGTTGCATGGAATGAATCTCATAGTTGACTTGTTCCTTGGGTTGACTTGTCACGGGAAGACCCAAATGTACTGGGCTGTTCGTGACTGGTAGGCGTTGCTTGCTTTCAAACCGGTGCCTGCTTGCCAAAGTCATACAGAGTTCCGGCTAGTGCTTGTTCCTTCATCAAAGAAGAATTATGAAGCCTGAATTTTGTCCGGAAGGGTACAGGAATGGCAAATGGCTCATATTGTTGTTGCCGCCTTTTTGGGGGGGTTGCTCAGGCATAGGGGATCGCAACAGAATGCTGCGCGCTGCATTTGAGGGGCTGCACACTGCACTGGTGGCATTAGGTTGTGCATCCATCATGCGCTCAGTGGGAAGAATTTGGCTGTATGTTGAAACAGGGGGGACCCCCCGAATGGCGGTTTTCCTTTAAGTTGCCTTTTGGTTTCCTTTAAACCAGCCTGAAACACACACACACACATACACACATGCGCATGCGGACACAAGCACACCCACCCACCCGCCCGCCCGCCCACCCACCCACCCACCCACCCATACCACACACACACACATACCACACACGCATACCACACGCATACCACGCACAGACACCCCCACACACACACACACACACACACACACACACACACACACACACACACACACACACACACACATGCGCGCACGCACGCACGCACGCACGCACGCACGCACGCACGCACGCACGCACGCACGCACGCACGCACGTACGCACACACGCGCGCGCGCACACACACACACACACACACACCCACTTTCACACTTTGAATCGGAGGCTTTGAACAGACATGTAAATCAACAAACCACGTTTTTGTATTTTGATGCTTGACAAGTTGTGCTTGAGCAACTTAGCATGGTGACATCATGGTGATTTGGGCAATGTCCACAAAGCATGCAATCGAAACCCGCGCTTTCGGCAGCACTCAGGAACACTCAGCACCTCTCAGTAGCACTGACGAGCACTCACTGGCACTCAGTAGCGCTCAGTAGCACTCAAAACCGCTCAGCCAGGATCCAAACACACCCAGGCGTGGCCAGTTTGTCTTGGCTGAGCCTGAAACTCTCAGCAAGTCTTTGCTGAACTCACTAATGGTTTCAAAGAAAATTATTGCTCAAATGCACTGATTAAGGCTTGCTAAGGCTTAGCAAGGCTTACTAGCCCTTTCAAAGTGTTACAACGAATTGCTGAGCAACAGTGCATGTTTGCTTTCTCCCTTGATTTGACCCCTTGCCCTTAGCACCCTATCAATCATGGAGTCGCATGTATGTGGACATTGAGCATGGTAACTTTGCACGATTTCTGTTGTTGGGAATTGCAATGCCAGGGATCCGTGAACGGTATGATCATTCACCCAAACCCAGAGCAATACGACCTGCGGTGCGCCTGGCATGTCTTGTGGCGAGCCGTGGTGGCAAAATGTTTGACTATCTCGATGCAATGACCACCCCCAAACTATGAGTGGGCCTGTTTTCATGTATGCATGGTGCCTGAGTCTTGTGTGCATGCGTGACGGCATGCCGGTTTGTCGTAGTGGGTGCGGGCGGGCATGCAGGCGCGTGGGCGTGCGTGCGTGGATGCGGGTGTGTGCGTGTGTGTGTTTGCACGGCTGGGTTTGTTTGTTTGCTCGCGAGCTCGCCGGTTTGCTTGCTAGTTTACTTGTTTGTTTGTTTGTTTGTTTGTTTGCTTGCTTGCTTGCTTGTTTGCTTGCTTGTTTGTTTGTTTGTTTGTGTGTTTTGTTTGTCTGTATTTTTGCGTGCTTGCTTGCTTGCTTGCTTCCTTGCTTGCTTGCTTGCCTGCTTGCTTCCCTGCTTGCTTGCTCGCTTGCTCGCTTGTTTCTCTGTTTGTTTACTTGTTTGTGTGTGTGTTTGTGTGTGTGTGTTTGTGTGTGTGTGTGTGCGCGTGCTTGTGTTTGTGCGTATGCGTGCTTGTGTTTGCCTGTGTGGTTGTGTGGCTGTGTGTTTGTGTGTGTGTGTGTTTGCAGATATCATGGTGTATGATGCATGATTCGTGTGAGGCAATCATTTTGGATGTCGATGCCACGAACAGATCCTGGCACACCTGTGAACTACTATTCAGCAAGGCAGCCAGCCAGCCGGCACCGAATGTGGTGGTGCATGAGCATGAGCGGTGAATGATGTTACTTGTCTTCACACATGTGGCTCAAGTAAAGTAGCTGGGGGTTCGCAGGCTTTAGTCTTTTGTCTCCATATACCAAGGGCCCATTTGGGGTACCATTTTGTGAGCCACTTCTGGGAAACGGCGCCTTTGGATATGGGGTGTGCTGCTCAGATTCGCCAGGAATGCCGATGCAGAGTGGCCCCTTGGATGCCGGGGACGCCGGTTGGTTGTTGACCGAAGATGCATCGGGGCCACTTTAGACTTTAACTTTTTGGTTGAAATATTTTCGGCTTTTTCCACTAAACCCCCCAAAAGTGAACAACTTTTTGCAGGGGGTCAAGAAGAAAGCACGGGGGCAACGCCAGGCGGCATGTTCATCGAGCTGGCCTTCTTCAGCGATCAGGGTGCCTACCCCGGCCAGACCGTGGATTTAAGGCGCGGGCCATGGAAAAGGAGAGACTCATCAAGCAAGTGGCATGCCTTAACAGTCTTCGATACGGCTGTGGTTGTCAAAGCCGTTTTGGATCCCATTTTGGGGCTTTCGGTGAATTCAGCACCCATTTTAGAACCTATTTTAGTGGGGATTGGGATGTTCACTGGGGGTACGGGATTTTGACCCATGGCCATACAAGACAACGCATATTCAGAGTATCTTCAGCCTTGCCAAGAGAAATGTCGCATGCACGCAAGCGTGCAAGTATAGTTCTGGGGCAGGAGATGCATAGCCCAGGTTTCTGTTGCGACAAGGAATCGTTTTGCAACGAGTTGAAGGCGTACCACCAACCGGCGGGTCGCACAGCTGCTGAGTGAGCCGAGAAAGCTCCTAGCCGCGCCTGGAGAACGGGCCCCGAACGACACGTGGGCGCCGCAAAATCCTCGCAGGTGTCAACTTTGGCTCTGTGAATGACCCAAGCCGAGCTAGCTCCGCATGAGCGATCAGCCCAGATATTTTGAGGAAGTTGAACTGGCTCCGGCGCCTTCAAACAGGGCACATTTCAGGTGTATCCATGGCTTTCCTAACAATTGAGCTGCCTGCTGACAAGTGTCAGAGCTGGTTTCGCAGGGGATAGAGAGTTAGATCCGATCAGTTCATGTGTTGACATGTCTCTGTCGGACTGTCGCGGCCAGGCCTGCGTTACATCAGTTCGCGGAGGTGGTGAGCCAGTGGGCGGAGAAGGATCGGTTACGGAGCATGTCAGAACGACCGCTTGGCATGGTGGGTTTGCTTGGTTCTCCCAGAAATATTCATGGGCAAAACAGGATTAGTCAACCCCTAGTTTATGACCAGTGCCGACATCAGATATGATCCTAACTGCCAGGATATCTAAACAGATGCATTGAGTTGACTCCCGTGCAGATCACCTTTCAAGCAGATTGTTGCCAACCGAAAGAAATAAGAGAAACAATCTCTTGATAATGACGGTTAGTGCTAAAGTAAGAATAATTTGATAATTCATTTCCTGAAGATCAAGAGGAATCAACTGACGAATGTGGCGGAAAAACAGGACTTGCTTTGATAATGACGGATGCCCTTGACCTCTTCATCTTGATTCACCATGCGAGAGGCATTCAGTGCCTCTGGCCGGGCTTCAGTTTTAGTGTGTCTCTGTGTAGGGGACCCCAAGGTTGGTTTCCCGGTTTCCTGGAATTCCCTTTCAACCAGCCCCTAAAAGGGTACTGTACCCTAAAAGACGGACAGACCCATATTGCAAACAGAGGCCTTCCCATATTGCCAAAGGTATCGTAGGATGTGGCTGGTTGTCCTTCAGTTTTGTGAGAAGGGATCGTAGTTTGCCACCTGGCAAGCTGCATCGTTCTGTGTGTATGCCCCATCTATTGATACTAGTGGCCTTGCAGTGGGTCCAGGGAAGTGCTGTGTCCAGGTTTCCTCGTCTGACGTATGCATTCCTCTTGGCAGAGGAAAGAAGTCGGTGCAGTGACATGCCCCAGCAAAGAGTTAGAAACATCTGCGACAATTCAAGATGCTCGCAGACCAGTTTTGTGGTCACAGATTGAAAGTCGGAGGAAACCTACAGCTCTGACTACAAGCTCAAGCTGCGGCATGTCAAAAGGACTGCCGCGTCCGACTCATTGTGATCAGCAGGTTAGAATGCTGCTGCCAGCTGTTTGACTGGATATTTTGTTGCCTGGAGTTGTGGCACTGCTTTTGCCTTTTTGTGAGCACAACTTTACACAGACAGAGTGAGGCAATGATTATTCCATGGGTGTGCGATTGTTTAGGGGTACCCTTTTCAGGCTTCAAGGCACCATTTGTGTGGTCCCCTTTGTTGGCACATATATATATATATATATATATATATATGTATATATATATATGTGCTATGTATGCGATTGTTTTTTCAATCAGCAGAGGTTCTGTCACTCACTCATGCCGGAATTTGTCAACGCTTGCCTTCTGGGGAATGCGCAAAGAGCACAGACGCCAAAATTGAGTTCCCACATTGGTCGTACTCCCATGTGCTCCTTTTTCTCGTGCATGGGCTTATTGCAAAGAGGTGACGGAATAGGCGGCACGTCGATTTTGACTCCAGCCCCTCTTTCCGTCCTGCGCAAGCGTGTTTCCCGCCGTGACATCCAGTCGTAGTTTGGCTAACTTGTGGGTATGAGTGGGCTTGGACATGGAATTTCAGGAGTGGCAATAGCCAACTGATTTGTGCATCAAAGTGTGAAACATGTCAAAATGTATGCAGAAATGCACACAACAGTGACAAGGCAGGGTTGACAAAGCATTGCAGAGTGTTTGGATGTCAGTTGAATTTGTGAACAGTGTGAAACCAGATTTGTGAAATTTGGGGAAGAGAGTCCGGTCATTTCACTGCCCGTGGTTGATCTTTGCCCATGTTGGGTCCTTGGAGGACACGTCTTCCAGAGTATGCTCTGAAGGCCAGAGTTGAAGTGGTTTTGGGGCAAGGGAGATGAGGGAAACATCACCCGAAACGTGATTCCATATGGAGCATGGCTGGTCTTTGTGGCCTTCAGACGCCTGGCTTTTCCATTAAGCCTGCAACAGGTTAGTCGTAAACCCTTTCGGGGGAGCAAGCAACCCAGGTACAATCTGGAACTCAAGATTGTGCTGACAGAACGGACACGTTCTGCAACTGCCCATCTTGTACGGTAGCTGACACGAGCTGGGCCAAAGTCCAGCGCTTCCTCTCAATCGGTCGCAGCATTCAACAGCTTTGTGCACTTGCCCCAACTTTGAAAAGAAGCCCACAGAACGGCCGTTAATGGGCGTGTATTTAGTTGGACCAACGTGAAAAGAAGCTTTGCAACATTGTTTGGGGCAATGTGTTGCAGTCAGCACCCGCAATGAACTGGATCTTCAGACACTTGGCTTAATTGAAGGCCCAGAACAATGAGAGCAAGTGTAACATGTGTAGTCCATCCTCTACCAAGATGGTAGCAGGCTGCGCAAGACTGTCGGTGAAGACCTATGATTCACCGGTGCTCTGAGCCTGTTCTCGAGGGATGCGCACTTGCCCCAAAACCAACAGAAACTCACGCCACAACTAGATTTCTCGAAGGACGTGTATCCGGCTTGCCGGAAAATATCCCTCCTCAGCTGCGCTGAGCATGTTCCAGTCACATGTGCGTCTATTCCATGTCCGTGCAGCGCGCCAGCGCGTCGCCGTCGCTGTTGCGATTGAAGGCCTCCAAGTCACAGCATACAGTCAAGTTGCGAAGTCGCATCGTTTTTGCTAGAATCAGCCCATTATGGGGGGAGACGCGCGGTCTCATGGGGCCATTTTGGGGGAGAGGCTTTGCGGGAAGTCGCATCGATTGCTTTATTTGGGTTGTTATTTGGGTTTGAACAACTGCCCAAAATGAGTGTTTGCTGCAACCATTTTGTGTCTGTCTGTCGTCTGTCCGGTTGCCTGCCTGCTGTCTGCATAAAATAGTTGATGTGACCATGATGTGACCCCGTGGACTAAACCGCACAGGCACCTCTGGGTTCCCAGAAAGTTGATGTGGCCAGGGTTCAAAGCCACTGGGATCCCATTTTGGGGTTTTCGGTGCACCGCCCATTTTAGAACCTATGTTAGTGAAGATTGGGATGTTGGGGTACGGCGTTTTGACCCCTGGCCATGCGTTGCTTCCCGATACGGCCGGAAAAATCGAAGGGATCCTCGGGCGACCCCTGCCAGGCGGAGGCCGCAAAGAGGAGCCGACCGCCGGGCGCCCAAGCATGCGCTGGTATCAATGGCCGCCAGTTGGGCTTTTTAGTGGCTGGACTACCGCAACTCACCTCCAGTTGGTTTTTTTGAGTCGCCGCCAGTTGGTTTTTTTTTTTGGCTTTTCTGGTGATTGCTGGGTTTACACCAATCCAAGACGAAGATGAACAACGCGATCAGTGGTCGGGGTGTCAGGCCTGGGAGTGGCCTCTAAACTGTACGTTGCATTTCCCGGTGAGTTACACATCTTACTGAATTGGCATCTGGATTCCTCCAGTTGCTTCTTGGGATGAAAGGCCTTAGTTCGTTGATTTTCCCACCACACGAGCTGGTGTTTGTTCTTCTACCTAGCATGTGGGTGGGTGGGGTGTGCCTGCCTGGCTGCCTGCCTGCCTGGCTGCCTGGCTGCCTGCCTGCCTACGTTCACTTATTTCCAACCCATACAGCACATACGGTGGGTCCGTTTCATCTTTATGGGCCAAAGGAGTGGCGTCCACAGGCGATCCCTGTTTTCGATTGGCTAGTAGGCACCCCCCGTCCAAAGATTGATGGGACCATCTCTAAGCGAAGCCCAAAATGGATGGCTTCCTTGTTAGTTTTTCCTCAACACGTCCTTAAAAGGAGTATCCTCAAACAAAGACTCATCCAGATTGGCCATGTTTGACTGGCATGGCATGGCATTCCATCCTTGAATGAGTACCCAGTTGCCCAGTGCCCTTTTCTTCCTTTTCTTTGGGGAAAGGGTTCCCTTTAAACTCAACCAACCAAAAAAAGGATGCCCTTTTTGCCCATGGCCACTGGGCCCCTGTTGTTCCCATGGAGATCCCAGTTGGCATCTCACAGTCCGCCTCTGTCCAGAGGTGCCGCTCAAGGCCGGGGCAAGCGCCGCCAGGTCCGAGTTGCCGACCTGAGCGCAACGTTCTCGTCGAATGCGAGTGACGGGACCACTGGACCGCGGGTGGGTTTTCATGTGGACGCATGCTGCTACAGAAGAGTTCTTACCAGCCATCAGGCATGTGAGCTTTTTCTTCATGGTCATGTTTCCAAAAGATGGTCCCAAGGACTCGCGAAGCTGCATCCATTTGTGGTGCTGCGGCTTCCCTTTTTAGAACCTTGCGTGTTTTTGTTTTGCAACTCAGCTCTGTTGCGCACAAAAACGGCGGTTCGCGTGTCTTTCGCAGGATGGACGCTGTGCCGTGGTCAAAGAAGACCATGGCTTTCGGAGATCATGAATTGTCAGGTCTGGGAGATGGGTGAGTCGACCAATGCTTTTCACGGAAGACTACCAACCGAAAAGCAGAAGCAAGGCGCTGACGCCACTAGCTTGCGAGGCACAGCCTGACGAGAGATGCTGAACTCAGTGCTAGCAGGAATGAATGGACCTTCTTTGTGTCTGCCATGATCCAAAGCTTCCCTTGGAATCCAGCCACGTGGTTCTTGACCCTAGCTCTCCAGTTGTCCATGGCGTGGGGTGGAACGCTTTCGGAACGGCGGGGGAACTGATTCTTCCTCGCAACGATCAATGGTCACTTGATTGAAGATACACTCCTTCCCAGCAGTTCAGTTAATGTGAGGTTTGCTACGTTGCAGCAAGAAATTGCCAGCAAAGGAGCAGATGGGATGCAGTGGCTCCAGCTCCAGAATCTTTTGCACCCACATGTACCTTCACGTTACATACTGCATCCTTCCTTCCAGATCCGCCCAGCGCTGTGCCTCAGTCTCAATTCATTAGGGTCACCTCGATGCGGCTCGCCCGTGGCTAAGAGGAAAAACACATTGGACTCACCGAAATGCTCAACAGGCCATGAGTGTTCAGCTGGATTTTCCAGTCAATGGTAATGAATATGCGTGTCTAAGTACGTTGTCTTTGCATGTTGCCTGTTGTCTTTGGCAGTTGTTGTTGATGCTGCTTCTGATGCTGCTGTTGTTGTGGTGGTCCTGGTCATTGTCGTGGTTGTGATTGTGCCCGTGCTCTTGCTCGTCGTCGTTGCTGTTGTATCTTGGTGTTGTGGCAGCGGTTGTGGATGTGACGGTGGCGGCGGTGGTGGTGGTGGTTGCTTTGGCTGTTTGTTGCCATTGTGGTTCGTGGTCGTTGTTTGCTTGCTTGCTTGCTTGCTTGCTTGTTTGCTTGCTTGATTGCTTGTTTGATTGTTTGCTTGTTTGTTTGTTTGTTATCCGTTTGATTTGTTTTGTTTGTTTGGTTGTTTTGTGTGTTTGTCTGATTTGGTTGGTTGGCTAGCCTGCTGGCTGATTGATTGATTGATTGATTGATTGTTTGTTTGTTTGTTTGTTTGTTTGTTTGTTTGTTTGTTTGTTTGTTTGTTTGTTTGTTTGTTTGTTTGTTTGTTTGTTTGTTTGTTTGTTTGTTTGTTTGTTTGTTTGTTTGTTTGTTTGTTTGTTTGTTTGTTTGTTTGTTTGTTTGTTTGTTTGTTTGTTTGTTTGTTTGTTTGTTTGTTTGTTTGTTTGTTTGTTTGTTTGTTTGTTTGTTTGTTTGTTTGTTTGTTTGTTTGATTGTTGTTTGCTTGCTTGCTTGCTTGCTTGCTTGCTTGCTTGCTTGCTTGCTTGCTTGCTTGCTTGCTTGTTTGTTTGTTTGTTTGTTTGTTTGTTATATTGAAGTATGTCATTGTTGTGTTTCTGAACTCTATCCTTCCCCCCCTCCCCACTTCAAGGACTGAGGACATCTTGTTGGTTTCAAGCATGACCAGTTTAGAACACAGCATTACTGGGATTGATGGCCATTTATGCTTTGAATCTTACAGCAAGTTGCTAAAATGCGGCCACGCCATACATGCCGAATGGACCAGACTGCGTGATTGATTGATCCAATCTGGTATAGCATAGGCTTCCAGAGACTGACCGCCTTCGGCTTGCTTGTTCGGAGACGGAGCGCTGCCCTCAAGCAGCCACATGTTCAGCATATCGGTGGGTGACAGTGGGCAGGCCACATATCATACAAGATATTATGGTTGGGGTTAGGCACGGGTAGAACAGACCCTCCTTGATACAGGATGCTCGTTGCTTGTCACCATGTTGCACGAGGTCATGTGGGCAGCAACACCGCCACCATTCGCTAGCTTAGCTGTGATCAGTCATTAACCTCCCTTCATCGCCACCATTGATCCTCTTTGCACTCAAACACCTCATGAATTCGATATACACTCAAGTTCATAAAATGAGAATTGATTCCAAGGAACGAAGGAACGCAACCACACGACTGCAAAGCCAGAGCACGGGCGGTGAATCGGTGAATCGGTGAATGTGGCACCTCTGGCACTGGGTGCAGCCTTTGCGCCGCCAGCCGCCACTTGCCCAGCAACTGGCTTGAGCTTCACAGGGAGAGGAGAGCAGCTATTCCTAGCCTCGTTATCTCAATGACACTTGGGTTGGGTCAAAATTAAACCACCAGGGCACCGCAGGTTGTGGTCCATGTTTCCATTTACCAGGAATCCATTTTGGGTAGATACTATTGGTGGTTGGGGGGGGGGAGCTGAGTTTCAAATGCCGGGTTGCTTGATGAAGCACATATAGCTATGAATTAAGCCTCCCCCTAAATGAGAAAAACCTACAAACGACCCGCCGCGCACAACCTATTATTGTCCTTCTCCCCGCTCTCGGGCAAAACATGATTTACAAAGGTCATGCTGCGGCACAGGCCTCCGGTTTCTGAACGAAGAACTAACCCAGTACTGATGAGGTTTTGCTTGGCATTGATTCAGGCTTTGTGTGCACCACGAACGTGAGGGAATGTGTGGTTGGCCTGGGTGTTGTTTTGTCAATCCCTTTGTGCTTTACAGAACGGCTGTGCAGATATTTTGCTTATGGTTCTGTCTCAAAACACGCCCAACACTGGTGTGTTTCGTTTTGATGTCCAATCAATCAACCTCCCAAAATGGGGGACATTTGACAAGGGCATATATTTTTATACACAACACAAGGTGCTATCAGTCAGTGCTTGAGCCCGTGTTCCTTTGCCATTTGGCCAATCAGCTGGTCCAGCCAGTGGTCCCGCCTGGCCTCCTATTTTGTCTGAAGACAAAGGCTATCCAAATGCCTTTCGTTCTCGGATGCTCGATCAGCCACAATGTGGAAGGCTGTGCAAGAATCAGTGCCCTTCTGAAATGCTTCGCTCATCTTGCGGATTGTTGAGGCCACTGGGGTTCCGTAGCAAGTGCGCAGTAGGAGGGAGACTTCAAGTCCAGGTGGTACCAATGTAGCTATTGCTATCATCAATACAGAGACTCAGGTGAATGAAGCAGTATGACATGACACGCTTCCAAGTACCGCACATTGACAGCAAACAAACAAACAAACGAGCAAACAAACAAACAAACAGATTACTTCGCTTCGAGCAATCCCCACCCTCCGCACTCACGAGCCTACGACCGTGAACACGGTGTGAATTCAAGCATGGCTTTCGAATGGCGTGGGGCTTATGACTGCTCAACAAGCTTTGCATTGAGAGCCTTATCCACCTGTCTTGTGTCAAACTCCACTTGTCTGCGAGCCGATCTCGAGAACTCAAACATCAGTTCCGTTAACAAAAGCCAAGCCCCTTCCAAAAAGAAACCCGACGGGGATTAAACGAAGTTGCTTATTCACAACCCAAAGCAACACAAAAGCATCACCCTTTCCGAGCCTCAGGGTACACTCAAAACACGAAAACGCCAACATGAAATGTAAACCCAACTGTGCGCCGGGCGGGACACTAAGCAAAACCAGACTGGCGAGCTGCTCTGGCGAGATACTGGCGGGGTCCACTGGCGAATGGCAAGCCGCTCCGGCTCGACACTGGCCGGATACTCGGCAGGATCCACTGGCAAGAGATACTCAACAGGATGCTCGGCGGGATACTCGGCGGGATCCACTGCTGGTGGGATACTCGGCGGGATCCGCTGGCGAGCTACTCTGGCGGGATACTCGGCGGCATCAACTGCGAGCTACTCTGGGATACTCAGCGGGATACTCGGCGGGATCCACTGGCGGGCTGCTCTAGCGGGATACTCGGCGGGATTTACTGGCGAGCCGCTCTGGCGGGATACCCGGCAGGATCCACTGGCGAGCCACTCTGGCGGGATACTCGGCGGCATCCACTGGGCGGGATCCACTGGCCAGCTGCTCTAGCGGGATACTTGGCGGGATCCACTGGCGAGCCGCTCTGGCGGGATACTCGTCGGGGTCCACTTTCGAGCCGCTCTGGCGGGTGCTCGGCCGGATGGCGAGCCGATACTCGGCGGCGACCATGTCTGGCGGGATACTGGGCGGCATCCACTGACCAGCAGCTCTGGCAGGATACTCGGCGGGATTTACTGGCGAGCCGGGATACTCGGCGGGATCCACTGGCGAGCTGCTCTGGCGGGATACTGGGCGGGCGCGTGGTGCAGAAGTATCGCAAATGCGGATTCCAACATAAAATCTAACAACCCCTTCCTGTCGGGTGGGCAACAAACAAGCAAGCACGCAAGCAAGCAAACAAACAAACAAACAAACAAACAAGCAAACATACAAACAAACAAACAAACAAACAAACAAACAAACAAACAAACAAACAAACAAACAAACACACAAACACACAAACACACAAGCAAACAAACATAGAAACATGAACACAAGCACACATGCAAACATGCAGACTTGCAACCATCCAGACATACAGACATACATACATACACACGTACAAGCATACAAACAGACCCACATAAGTACAAACACGGCATACACCCACACACGCCTACAAGCACACAAAGATACAACCAGACATACATACATATGAACAAACATAGAGTGCGTGCACATACATACATACATATGGTCACCCCCCATTCCAGGATCCACCTTTTCTGTCTTGAAGTTTGTTTACTCATTTCTGAACCAACTCCGTCAGAATCATGAACGTGTATGTACAACACCTGACCAGATTCTGAACTCTGGGGGCAGTCCACATTGAATTGGCCATGATGAAACATGTATTTTCCA